GATAGGCTGTCTGTCAAGCCACTGACTTAAATCTCAAAAAGTATGGATCGAAAAGTGGCCCACTAGGGTAGTCAGGACCCTACCTCTTGGAGGACTACAACTGACTTAAAACGAGGCTTTTTTAGGCTAGTTAGTGACCAGGTGGGTAAAGTAAGTTTGAAAGAGTGAAATAAAATGAGTGTGTGCCATTGCAATGTGTCAGTGTGCAGTGTGCAGGTGGCACTTTCCTGTTAGAAAGACGTTTTACTGGGGCGTCTTTTTTTCCTCAAAATGTTGAAATTTTCAAAGTTAGCTGGTGTAGTACTTTTAGATTTGCTGTATCGACACCTCTGATGTGTGGCAGCTTGTTGACTAGTTTACTTGGCAATGAGGAAAAATGGCTGGCCAACTGTACGATTGACTGACTGGTGCTTTTGCTGTAGGAACGCCCCTCACAAACAGGGGCTCTGATCAGTGTGGAAGATTTTTTCAAGCGATCGACTTTTGATCGGTACGATGCAGAAAGGCTGAGTGATGGCACATCATTGCTATTGTGCAGATTGATAGCAAGGTAGTGGTCAAGGTAGTGTGTGCTTGCATGAGAGTTGCTAATAGAATAAAGAGAAAAACAGTGTGATAGGGTAACAGGACAACGGTCAATGTGAAGGAGAGCAAATGAACGAGGGTATAAATATTAGGGTGTAAAGGGGTGTTGCGTCAGTGTGCAGGTGGCACTACCACTTTAAACGACTCTAAACAGTTTACTGAATCTTCTTTTTCTGAAATACTCTTTTTTTTCAGCGTACTATGACTGGGATTTGTGGTGGCACAAAAGGGAATGCCCTAACGGTGGCTGGGCATGGGCTGCAACTGGCGTCCTCGAAGGCATTTACTACTGGAAAATTAACCGCACATTAGTTAGTTTTTCTAAGAAAAAACTAATTAAATGTGTCTACAGTCGTAACATTTGCGAATTTGGTGGTGACATCCGTGATGCGCTAGAATACATTCAAGATGAAGGCATCTATGAAAGCAAATACTACGAGATGCACTATTTCCCATGGCGTTGCCGCCCTAACGAGTTCGTCCAAATGTTTTATACACAGCCAGGGCAAGTTTATTTCAAAAATGCTTTTGATGTTCGTACTGTGGACGAACACGCAAATGCGAGCGAAATCATAGAACTTCTCAAAAAGTACGGCCCTATTAGTGTGGGAGTGTCAGTTCGCGAAAATTTTAAACGGCACCATTTTCAGGATGGACTCCTTTCGAACGATTATGTTCTAGATGATGATTCAACAAATCATTTTGTTGTGCTGGTTGGCTATGGTGAAACTTGGTTTGATAATCAAACTTACTGGATCATCCGCAACAGTTATGGCCCGGGTAAATTTGATTTTTAAACTAGAATTGTTTAACATATGTTATTTTATTTAAATAGATTGGGGCAGAAATGGTTATGCATTATTGCGGCGAACGGAAAGTGGTTACGAAGTTAATAGATTTGCACATTACATAGTGTTGCGTAAAACGCAATTTTAATTTATTTTGTTCATTTCAGTGAATCGTATAAAACGATCACTTGTACTACAAACATTGCCAACTTTAAAATGAAATGTTTGTATAATTTATTTTATAACTTTGACATTTACCGGGATTGTTTAATAAATTTAGTTGTGGGATTATTAAAGTTATTTTGAAATCGTTGAAGTTTGGTGTTGAGCCCTTTGTCTTTCCAGCAATCTCTACCTATGGCAATTAATTCATACTGTAAAGGAATTTTCCTTGAGGTGATGGCTTCTGACGAGGCCATTCGAGAACGCTCCAGAGCCTGGAACGGCGGCTGGCTGAGTCATCGCCTGGCTGCTGCTCAGCGCCTTGCCTGTGTGAGCAATCAGAAGACTTGAACGTGAGTGGAGCGATCCCTCGCTTCGTTTCACTGCGCCACGTGCCTTATTAACGGAGCCTAAAGGCATATAAGCCGACGGCAACCACGCCGTCTTCATCATCATCATCATTGATGAGCTCAGCATTCAGCTCAGTCTCAGTCCTCTCAGGCCAGAGCAGTCTCGCCGAGCAGAGGCGCTCCGTTGACCGGCTGCCTAGTGCGCGCCCCATCATTGCCGGTTGTTGCCGTGCCCTGTGCCTGTGTCACCCTGTCTTCTAGAACCACCCTTGCCCGAGCCCTATTCGCCCTGTGAGGCCCTCATCACCTACCTCTCCTTCTTCATGCCCGTTATCCCCTTTCCCCTCTTCCTCTATCAAAATAAACATTTCGACCATCGTACGCGCCCGTGCCTCTCTCCCTTTCTACCGGACCAACGCCTGCGCCCGTGCCCGTCTCGTTTCTCTCTCTCTCTCTCTCTCTCTCTCATCTTTGCAAAAGAAATTCCGCGACACATACTTTCTTACCGTGTTAAAACTTGTCAGTTTCAGGTTTAAATTCTTTACACAGCAGTTAAATTGCACACATACAAACGCCTTTTTGTTCTTTTGGTTTCAGAAAAAATCGCTCAAACAAGTCGCATGTCTGCCCATGAGTAAAGTCACCTCTTTACCAGAACGAGATCTGGTATCCTTGCCCTCTCGGGCAGGTACAGCTAAAACTGATGCAGATTTAATGAATTTGAAACGTTTGCCGAGCGCTACTTCGACTTTTTCCAAATTTTCGCCCTCATATTAATCAAGTATGGTGAGCGACTGCAGACTATCGAGAAGATGTCGGGTGCTGGCCCTTTGCCTCAAAACGGCTTTAATCAGATGAGCAGCCTAGCTGACCGTGAGCTTTGTATTTATTCCCCAGATCAAAATTGAGCAGATCAGGCGAGCCGAGGACTGGCGTGCGTCTGAGAGTGTAGTCCCAGTCCCCCAGTCACTTCCGGTGCACCTGTTTCCCCCCGTCTGCAGACGCTGAAGATCGTCCTCTGGTCCTCTGCTCCACCACTGGGCCGTTGACCAGGTTGATCACCACGGTGACCAGCCTGGTCAGCAAACGGCTCACCTCTCTCTCTCTCTCTCTCTTTCTCTCTCTCTCTCTCTCTGCAGCTGCTCATCTTCGCAACGACAGCACGGCTACGAACAGTACCGGTGGACAAGGTGGACAACATTTGTTCCTGCGCCTGTTCGCCTGCCCACCTCAACAGCTTCACCGCTTCACTGCCGCCCCTTTGCGACACTTTACGCTGCTCTTCGAAGAGAGTGCAGGCAAACTTTGAGCTCATTGATACTCATTGTACAGAACTTTATAGCAACGAAGTGTCTGCCTGCTGGGTCATATTTACCTCATATTTGCCTCTTCTTCTGCTCCTTAATCGCCATCCCTTTTCCCTGCCTGGCCCATAGCGGAGCGCATCATCTGCCTGACACTTAATGACCACGCGGCACGACCACGCTAGGGTGATCGGTGCAACACGACCGCCAGCTTCTCTTCAGACTGAGCCGACCTCGGGAGCAGACTTGCGGGTGCCCTGAATGTTCCGGAAAGCAGCAGACCGATTA